TTTTAATTTTATTTTTATATTCCCCATACAATTGCAACCCCCTTATTTTGACCCCAATCTCTCCTTTTCCCACCCCTCAACCCCCATATAGTGTCTCTGGTTCATAGTTGTTTGTTGATTTTGATATTTTCTTTCTTATAGTTATTCTTTTTCCTGGTCCCTTATTTAAGTTTTCTAGATTCCTGCTATGAGTGAGACCATAGCACAGGAAGTTTTTTATTCACAAAACTCATAAAGAAAATCAGCTATCCAGGAAAAACATGTTTATTCTAGTTCTAAGAAAAGAAAGAAATTTCTCCAACAGGTCCTCATAAAATCGATACTGTGAGATTTACTGAACAAATATATAACCTCTAAAAAGATATCCGCAAGCAAACAAACAACCCTCACAGTAAACCCAGCAATGAGTTTCATAGTATATTATTTATAAAATCCCTAGGTAAAAAGTATGTAGGAATATACAGAGAGAAAATATGTAAGAAGTTGTGGAGCACAACTCAAGGATAATTCAGTGTTGGAGAGCTGATAAGTGAGGGTCTAGCTTATTAAAGAATATGAAGAGAACTGGAAATTAAACCTAACTCAGTTTGTGTAATAATTTTGCAATTAGTTGAAATGTTTAAAACAACTGTTTGGTGAATTCATTCAAAATTTACGCAAAGTGCATACATGTAATTCTCAAGTAAATCACATTTTTTAAAATGATAAATCCAAGCTGGGAAACCAAATTTAAACAACCTGTTCTATCATAAATAAGTACATTTTGATGGACTGTATTAACCATCTAATTTTCAATCCATTGTCCAAAGGAACAAAGTGGATTCCTACAATCTCGCCTTAATGTTAGAAATACAGCAGCTTAAATGCATTGACCAGCAAAAATAGGTCTACTTGTAAATCAAGACTTCCAGTTAATTCTTATTTGCACAATTCCTGACATTCATCATATGTGATGCAAAAAAGTTGGTTTTCCTTTCAAGTATCTCCTATGTTTTTCTTACTTACATGCTGAAAAAATGAGTTATTTTCAGAATGATGTGCCAGGGTCATTTTCAAGATACCTCTCATCATTTAAATGATGTGTTTCCTTAAAATAAATAATCTATTTAGTATTCTAGTTATAGAAATTACAAGAAAAATCATAGCAAATTTAAAGAAAACTGGTCAAAGTAATTATCTTTGCAAGTTTAGGTCAAGATGGAGAGAGAGCACAAATTTAAATATGATCAGTGATTTTGAAATTGCGAAATGTTCGTTTTTGTATATGACTTATAAAATTATCACAATTTTACAAATTCTAAAAAGTTGACTAATATCAAGAAACACCACATGAGCCAGAAAAATACTTTAGTCATTAACTGTGTGATGCATTTCCATAATGCAGTTTCTTATAATTTTTGGCTGCATACTATTTTTATTTATACATCACATCATAAGACAACTTTGCAATATCATTCTCTAGAAAGCAATTTGCTATTTGTCCTAGGAATTTTTTTGATGATTCAGAGTTTAAATGTTTCTGTCATATAATTTCTTTTTGGTAATACCACACACATTTTTTAACTGTATTCAAATGAGGGAAAACCTCTGTAAGTTTCTTTAATATATAGGCTATCAGATTTCAGATATATTAAGTATTTTCATGCAATGACTAATTTTAACTACTTTTCAAATTGATGGTTTCATTAATCAATTTGTCATAAAAATCCTCAATGTTGTAGCATATTGTGAATTGAATGATACTTGCACTGTCAGCATTTCATGTTAACTTTTGATTAACTCTAGTTCAAGAAAAATAATCTCAATTTCCCTGTAACTACCAAAATCCAAAAGAAACTACAATAGGAGAAAATAAAGAAATAAAAAGAGATAGAGACCTTAATTCACAGTGAAAATATCTCAGTTTTGAAAAATTTTCAAAAATATATGGTGATGTGAAATTACTGCTGGGTCTTCCCCAAAGACTTGGTAAAGATCCATGCAGACAAGGGACCCTATAACTAAAAGCTCCTTAGTTTCACAATAAATTTATTTCTTTCATGAATAAAACAAGCATTGTGAATATTTTTGCCAAGCTTTATATGCAAATAAGATAAGCAAAATGAATAATTTATGAACAACTTCTCTATCCATCACTAACCTTCAGTGAGTTGTACCTTTAGAAGACACCTAAAAAATAAGATGTTCTCCATACTGCTCAGGCCATGAAACCTAAAAGTGCTCTCTCATCATGCTGTTCCTTACTAAAGGAAATGTCAGGAGTTGGTTCTTTTTCATGTATGGCTCTGTTTTTTTTTAATCATATGCCTTTATCATCTGAGCTACAACTTAATATTAGAAGTGTGAGTCAAGAAAGATCACATGCAGGATGACCAGAGGCCTACGAGTGGCATGAGTAGAGATAATTGAATCAATCATTCTCTCTCTTTAGGAGGTATAATTTAAGATAAGCAAGGGATACACAAAGGAGACTAATCCAGAGGCTAGAAAACACAGGTAAAAGTGATAGGCAGAACAAAAAACCTGAGTACACAAGATTAAAAGAGAGATATAAGGAAATGGACAGTCAGTAAAAATAGAATAATAAATAGATTTCTAAAACCAGGGAGAAAAGTACAAAAGTAGGAACACACGACTTGAATCAAAGAGGATAGTGAGCCATACGAATAGTGGTGGGCCAGCAGTATTATGCTGTTGTGTAGATGACATTCCTAGAAGGAAGGAAGGGAAATAGAAATAAGGAGGAAAGGAAGGGAGAGATAGAGGCCTGGGGAGAGGGACAGAAAACAAAGTATTTGAATCTATATAATCTTGAGTTAAGGTAGGTAAGGGGCAGGGCAGAAGTGTAAAAAAAATTCTTTAATTCCCTTTTGAGGCTTGTTACTATATTAGTACAGGAAAAAAAATTTAAAACAATTTTAGATATATTACATGACTAAACAAATAAACAAATGTGCTGATATTGTTGGGAGTCAGTGTACTCACCATGGAAGAAGGAATTAAAATCATGGGTTAGAGAAAGGCAAGAAAAGACCTTGTGGAGATTGATTGGAAATAAAGGTATAGGTGAAAGACATGCTTTCTTAAATGCATACGTTCATCTGCTTATTCCTGTTCATGTACATATATGTACATAAAATTCTATTGGGAAGCAAAGACATCTTAGTAGCAAAGAATATACCTAGCACCTAGACCTAGATCTCTAATAGGATTTCCCATTAAATGAAACCAGAGTTTTTCAAGAAATGCTGCTTCCCATGACTGGAGAGAGCAAGAATAACTTGTTATAAAATAAAGTAGGGAAATACTGAAGAAAAAAAAAATGATGGGAACATATAAGAAGGACTCAGGAAAAGTTTGAAGGGGCTACCACTGGCCAAATATGGGACAATGTGAGCACTAAAGTAATTAAGTAATAAATCAGAACTCATTGAAAAACAGTAGTTTGTTAGTTTGAAACACCCAAAAATACTTAAGAAAATAAACAGGGAAGAAGCGTCCTTTGGATATAGTTGAGTGCCAGAGGTCACAAGGCAAATATGGAAATCCTGGAGTTGGAAATAATCACTTGTCAATTATCATGGTAATGAGCAGGCAAGAGCCAGCAATGGTGCTAAATATAAAAGGAATTTTCTATAAAGAACAAGATATTTCCATTGTCTTAATATGTCTTTTCAAAGAGTACATATTAGTTGCAAGGAGGAAAAAATAGTAATAACAGTGAAAAGATTGGACAACACTTTGGGTAACCAACAAAATCATCAGTGAGGGAGAGAGAAAACACCGTGACTCCAGATGTGATACTCTAAAAGGACACAAGATCACCTGTGTAGTATTTGACCAAGAACAAATAACCTCAATCTACTCCATAAACACCAGGAATATAGTGTTGGAAACATTACGTTCTTATCCATTCATTCATGTAACTCAAGTTTATTGAGTAACTACTATGTTATTATGATACAAAATAATTTTAAAAATGGTCCTTTTCTTAAGAATCATAAAGCCTAGTAAGAAGACAGATACACCTAACTGATTATAATGCATGAGATCACTACCATAGGAATAATACAAGATTAAATTCTAAATGATCTGAAAGGAAAAAGAAATTGATTCTTTCAAAGAGCATTAGGAAGGTTTTTTTATATATATAGTTTTCAAAAATATAACAGGAGAAAAAAAAGAAGTAAGGGCATTCTAAATAAGAGGGAACAAGATGTAAAATTTATAGCTTGTTTAAGTGAGCATTCATTTAGCAAAAATTTTCTTTCCAGTGAGTCACTACTAAATCATTCAGAAGACTGGTGGAAATTTTTCTAACCCTAGTTGCCTCAATGAAATCATATTTTCACCTTTTCTGAAACCAGGAAATTTCAAATATTAGTTAACACCAAGTTCTGATTATAACTCTATAGCATCAGGACATTTTTAAAAATACTTAATATCAAAGGAAACATCTTACCTTGAGTTTTTCAGTGTAGCATAGAAACAATTTCTTTACTAATCAATTTATTTTTAAATAAACTACCTAGTAGCCGTTAAGAGAAATGACAAATATTGTACTTTAATTTTTAGATATACAGTCTACATAATGTAATTTCAGTCTCCAAACTACATTGTTCATGTTGATATATACTCTACTCACTACTTAAAATAATTGGATCTTTGTTTTTGAAAATATAACTGTGGAGCAAACTTCATATCCCTCAAGATGGTTTCGATTTTGTACCAATCAATTCGTGAAATATCTCATTTTCCTTAAAATTTATTTTATAGGGCAAGAGTATCTTACAGAGTCAAAAGTTTCTCTAGTGTTAGTCTGGGATTCACATTTTTCTTGCCAGCTATTATAATTGAATTGAAATGTTAGGTTATGTGTAGTATAAGAAATTGTCACACGTGTCAGATTTCTACTCCTATATAAAAAATCTACCCTAAAACTAAGTAGCTTAAAACAATTATTCATTATTTTCTTTTATAGTTCTGGAGGATGAACTTACTTAAGGGCAATTCTTACTTAACACACCTCATAAAGGTGTAGGAAAGTCAGGAAGGTGGCTGGCATCACCAAAGGCTTCTTTACTTATGTATCTATCTGGTACCTGGGCTGGGAGGTGACAGGAAAAGCTGAAGGTAGTTGAATATATTTCTCTTCTCCCTGTCCTCCACTTGCCCTTCTCCTTCCCCCTCTTCTTTTCACATTCCCACATCGCTTCCTCAAATGGTTAGCTTGGGCTACCTCACAGTCTTGGCAGTTTCAGGGCAGTTAGACTTCTTGCATGGGAACTGATTTCTCGGAAGTTAACATTCCAATTTGCCTGAATGGAAGCCACAAGACTTTCAATGACCCAGTTTATAAAGTCACAATGTGTCAATCTATTGCATTCCATTGGTCAAGCAGTTCGCAGAACACAGAAGTTAAACCCCACCTCTCAATAGAAAGAGTTACAAAGAAACTGTGGCCATCTTTAATTTACATAATACCTACTCAAAAATGGGGATATTGGCAGATTTCTCTTACTTTCTCCCCTTCATAACGAATTTAGTAGATTTAAATTACCATGAAACTCTTAAAATAGGGTATGTTAATGATATAACCTGTTTAATAAATTGGCTACTAATTAGCAATTAAGAAAAACAATATGAGGGCCTCCCCTGGTGGTGCAGGCAGTTGAGCGCTGTGCTGTGAAGCTGTCCGCAGCCTCTGCAGCTCCGGTTAGATCCCAGCGGTCCGGTGAGGGTCCCACATGGCGCGGCAGACCTCTCCTATCTCGCCAGCTGCTCCCCTCAGCAGTGTATTTCAGAGTCTGCCTGTTCTGTTCCCTGCTCTGTCTCTGGTGAATCCTCTCACCCTCCCGCGCATCTGGCCTATACCCTGGTTCTTGTATAAATAAATAAATCTTTAAAAAAAGAAAAAGAAAAACAATATGGAAACTAATATAAATTAGTTCTTTGTGCCCAGTTTGACTATTTGACAAAAACATTCTTGTGAAAATATGTTTAAATAATTATTAAGAATATGCTCTATAGGTGATACCCAGCTATTAACATGAAGGTCAATAATATGAAGGAATATATGATCTCAGCCACTTTCAATCCCATTCCAATTTACCTACTAACTCATCAGGGACATCATAAAGCTGCAAAGGGCACTTTCCTGAGAGTGTTTAATATTCCCCAAAGTATGCCAGCTGTCACATCATCAAGTGGAAACTCTCTGCTTCCCAGATTTTCAATGTTTTAAGTTCAGAACAACCTATATTTATTACAGATAGGGAATTATCACAGATGCATGATTTGAGAGAAGGGTATATATATTATATATATAATATATGTAAGTATACATGTTAAGCAATAATATTTTAAATGACAAAACCAAATTCCAAAATATATAGATCCATGGTGAGAAACTGTGTTCTTCTCATGACAGATTATTTATTTAAGTAAAGCAGCTGTGTTACTTGTAGGTGTCTATTCCATTGATTTATTATTGCATAACAATTATCCAAAATTTAATGACTTGAAAGAGCAAGCACTTTATTATATCTCATAAATCTGTAGATCATCATTTTGGGCAGGGCTATACTGGGTAGCGCTGCAAAACACTGAGTAGGGTCACTTAGTGAGACTCGGCTGGCAGCTTGACTGGGCTGGAGAGTCTGACATAGACCATCACCTGCTTGACACCTGAAGCAGCCCTCACCTCCATTTAGTGGATTCTTGAGGATTCTCTAGGAGGCTTCTCCAGAAAGTAGTCAAATACTTTAAAAAAAAAAAAAAAGATTGATTTAGGGCCTCCCTGGTGGTGCAAGGGGTTAAGATGTAAACTATGAAGCTATCCGCAGCCACTGCAGCATGAGTTCGATCCCTGGCCAGGGAGCTACCCACATGGCGCAGCAGACCTCTCCTGACTTGCCTGCTGCTCCCCTCAGTGGTGTATTTCAGTCAGTCTGCCTGATCTGTTCCCTACTCTATCTCTGGTGAATCCTCTCACCACCCACACCTCTGGCCTGTACTCCAGTTCCTGTATGCATAACTAAATAAATCTTCAAAAAAAGATTTATTTTTTGCATAGAAGAATTGGGTTGCAGGCCAGAGGTGCGGGGTGGGAGTGGTGAGAGGATTCAACAGAGAAAGAGTGGGGAACAGAACAGGTAGATCTGCTGAAATACACTCCTAAGGGGAGCAGTGGGTGAGACAGGTCTGCTGTACCACATGGGTTAGCTCCCTGGCTGGGGATCAAACTCAGGCCACAGTGGTGGAAGTGTGCTAGCACTGAGACTTAACCTGTAGGCCACCATGGAAGCCCAGTCAGTAGTCAAATTCTTATATGGAGACTCAGGATTCCAAGGAAAAGTGTTTTAAAAGATAGGAAAAGAGGTGGCCAGTATCATTAGACCTGGGATGGACACTGGCACACCATCAATTCTGCCAAATTCTCTTGGTCAAATTAGTCAGTTTATCCAGATGGAGAGAAAGCATATACCTAATTTCTTGATAAAAATAAATTAGCAGGTATCCTTAATTTGCCACAGGGTCAAAGGCAGATAATTCTGAAGCCATTCACTGGAATTTCTGTAGGAGGTCTCTTTGGAATTAGCTGAAAGTCAGAAACACAGAGGAGACTCAACTAATCTGAACTAGGAGTAACAATAAACCAATGGAGCACATTACTTACCTTATATTTCAAAGGAAAATTTAGAAATATTAAATGTGAAAATATTTCTCAGTTATAGCTAAATAAGAATCCTTTAGTAATAAAGGAACTAAGAGGACATTTTTTAAATTGACTATCATGTATCATACATATATATCACCAACTATAATGCATTGCATGTATTTCTGCTTAATCAGAAGCTAATAAATAAAACTTAAAAATTACTTTTAAGGTTTTTTTTTTCTGTGTGTGTATGGGAGACATGACTTTTCTCGTTCAAAAGCTAAAGAAAAATTAAACCATACATTTTATTCACAGATTTTAAAGACTTGAGTGTTTGACTTTAGTACTGCTGTATAAATGAATCACCTGGGGCAATATACACACTCCCATAGATGAGTAACATAAAACTGAGGTTAGCAGGGTCCTTAACAATCTAACCTAATACCATGTTCTCAGCCTTATTTTATCACTGTTTCCTCTCAGTGTCCACTAGAAAAAATACCACGAGGAACACAGTTATATATCATGATTGAACAAGCTGGGTTTATTACTCACTGTAGAAAGGCAGACTGAATACCCTGAGGAAGAGTGGGCAACTCAGTGAGAAGGCAGTAGGACTTAATTTACAGAATTTGGGCTTGTTTTCTGTGATTTTTCACTATCTTACTAAATATTTGGAGGAAGAAAGACAAGTACACCGTTAAGATCGTACGTGATAAAGAATCAGAAGTCATCATATTAGACTGCATATAATGACTTTGTACATGTGACCTGGATGCAAGTTTTCTCTATGTTCAAATATGCTAGTAGAGTGATTTGATCCTTTTCTTGTTTCATCATTGACAGTTTACACAGAGTAACTCTGTCCGATGTCGATGTTCTATGAAATTGTGTTCAGCAGACGAATACCAATTCCTACTTCAGGCTAGTTCCAGATATCAAATGTGCATATTCATACTGACCGTGTGTTTTCTTGGCCCTATGTCCTGTGTTCCATTCAGTTGGTCTTATATCTTCCAGAAGCCTTCCCTCAGCACTTCCACTCAGTTTTCTCTCTAACATTCTTTGTACTCGCTGTCAGGTTACTTGTGCTTAGTCTTTGTTTCCTCGGATAAAATTGCAACATACATCTCTCTTTACTTTCACAGTGTTACAGCACCTAACATATAGTCACAAAAAAAGAAAAGGGAGAGGTTTGTTTTCCTGTTATATAAACTAGAGCACACAGTGTAAAAATACTTCATTCAATTAGGTAAAATCATCTTGGAAAAAGTCGCACGAATGCTGGACCTGGGCTGCAGGACAGAATTTAGGCCTGAATGAATCACTGCAGGTAGGAATACTCTGGTCTGCCCAGAGCTGGCGTGACACTACATCTCCCACAATCCTTTGGGACCTATTAGGCCCCGAGATATCCTGGACTACAATTCCCATAATGCTCGGAGGCCGCCATTTTGCTACGTTTTCCGTAGGCCCTGCCCCATTTCCTATCGTCCCTTTCGGTCGCCGCGCACCGTCCTGCAAGGTCGTGAAAAAAGGACTACTTGGGTTGCCGCCATTTCGCCCGCCTTCGGTCTCTGCGTCTTTCGCAGAGCTCCCGACTGCGCTATGTTGGGACAGAGCATCCGGAGATTCACGACCTCTGTGGTCCGTAGGAGCCACTATGAGGAGGGCCCAGGGAAGGTTAGTGTCTAAGGGGCCTGGCTCCGTAGGGATTGGGAACACCTGACTGCGACTCGTAAACCCCCAAGGCCACCTGCGGGCCGTGAAAAGGGTAATCCTGGAATTTGGGCTGGGAAGGCTACTAGCGTTTTACTTCCCCCAGGTCCCAGAGAGAAAAGCTCAGGACCCTGACAGTTCGCGTCTCTGCGGAACGGAATGAATAGGCCACATCTACCCCTATAGTCCCCACCCCTGCCCCCCGCGATCTGGAGGGCCTGGGCGATCACCCCTGCAGGTATCGTGGCTGAAAGTCGACCTAAAGGTCGCCGGACTCGGACTGAAGGTCATTGGGAACTAATGAGGAAATGAGGGCCTCTGGATTGGGCTTGAGTTTTCTCTTAACCACGGACGAAATTTTAAGTCTCGACTGTAGGGTTGAGGTTGGGTTTAGCAGTCACAAACTCAGGGGTACGGGGGCGCGGGGAGGGGCTAGTTGTAAAGGGCTGAGCGCAAGGATGGAAGAGCTACTTGGTTTTGAAAACGTCAAACCTCATGGTGCAGTTGTCATACTAAGTTAGTAGTTTCTAATAAAAACTAGAACTAGTTACCACTTTTTCTGTGAGTTGATTTTGTTTCCAAAATGGTCTGTTTCTAAAAAGGAGTCCTTTGAAAAGTAAACTTTTTTGGTTTTCTAAAATAAAATAGCCTTACTGAATTCAGCACTCCTGAGTGCTGAAGACACACAGACCTGGTGCTCAGTAAAAAAATTGTTTATCCCTTCTCTACCAACATTTCGTGTAGAAAACTGAGTGGTTTGAAATTTTGCTTTTGTTGCTTGTTTTCTTTTTTTCCAACAGAATTTGCCATTTTCTGTGGAAAACAAGTGGCGGTTACTACTTATGATGACTGTGTACTTAGGTTCTGGATTTGCTGCACCTTTCTTCATAGTAAGGCACCAACTGCTTAAGAAATAAGGACGTTTTAGTTCATCCATGAAACAGGTAAAAAAAAATTTTTGAGTTTTGCAAAATGCAATTTATTCAAGAACACACTACTGGATATTAAGCTTGTCCTTGTTTCACAAATAAAGAAGACATAGTTTACTGACCCTGATATCCCTTGTCATTATTAAGAGGTAATTTCTAATCTTCACAAAGCAATGCTTTCTCTTTTATTCCTCTACCCCCTTATCTCCTACCCCCAAACATGCACTAAAGAGGACTTAAGTGTAGACGTGGGCAGTAGTTGGAGACAAGTTAAACCTATAAACAAGTCTTTCTCTGCCTGGTTGCTAGTATCCAGTGTCCATACTATTTGTCAGGCATACTTTATATTATAAACCCATGTGCTTTTCTATCAGGCCTGTAAGGTAAATGATAAACTAATCGAAGACTCAAAGATGTTAAGTTGCCTATAGGTAGTGATGGTGGAGCAAGATTCTTATTTGGACAGATAAAGTTCTGGTAAACTGATAAGGTTAGTTTATTTTGAGGAGAGTATATGACAGTTTATGCCCAAAGGAGTCTTGTGTGGTTAGAGGGTTAGCCAGTTCCTTGTGTGAAATTTACTTTGCTTAATGGTAATCAAGATTTTTCTTCAATCCAAAACTTAAGAAACCTCTGTAGGATGACTGGAATATATTCCAAAATATACTTTGGAAAGACTTATAGTTTAAAGGGAAATGATTCATCTAAACCTTTTAATATGGAAAGGTTTTGGCACATATGATGAAGCAAATCAGCATGAATTAAGTATGATATTTTACTTAAAAGTAAACGCTTTCTGATGTGCCACCCATCAACTGATGGACATAAAATATACTATGATTTCTGAAGATTGGCATTTTTTTAAATATGATTAATGTTTTTGTGTTTTGTTCCCAGATATGAAGAGGATCATTTTAAGAAGTGCAATTTCTTTGAAAAGTCAAACTCTCAAACTCAACATACTAAATATGTTTGTAAATAAACTTATGGGCATGACTCCTTAATGCCTCTTCTCTGAAATATAGTTGAGTGTATGATTATTTTTTATTTGAATAATATTCCCGTATTCATCAAAATGTGTGTGTGTTACCTTGTTGATCTTAAATTGTGACATTTTATTTAAGTTTTGAGTTTTAGGTCAGTACCTTGTTGGTAATTAATGTTCAACTTGGGGGAAAAAGAATATTTACTGTCCCCCCCTTTATTTTGAAGGAGTAAATTAAGTTTTCTGCATATGGGATAATTAGTTAATTTCTCCATGAGTGATAATTAACCATGAGGAAGATCAATAATATACACAGATTGAAATTTAAGGCCTTAATTTTTTTCTTTACAGATCTGTAAGCTAAAGCTGGAATTTTTGCCTTGCTGAGTTTATCGCTGGCCAGTATTATTCTTAGAATCAATAAAAGTAGACTTATTTGAATTAAGGTAGAATATAGGAAGTAGTCCCAGCTTTATTGTAGAGCTTTGACTTGTAGAAGTGGGTTGAAAGGTGGTTTCTGAATAGTAACTGTCCCAAATTTATATTGCAGTAAAATGCTGTTTGTCATTTAAAAGGTAATTACTTAGTTCCTAGGGCTTTGTGTTAGGGCAGGGGAAAAGTAAGCAGTTACTATTTTATTGTAAGTTTGGACACTAGAATAATACTGGTGTAAAAAGCAGTAATGAAGGATTTGTAAACTTGTGGTCTATTTGGCCTCTACCCTTTTAAACCAACCATTTAAAATCAGAACATTTATATAAAAAAAATGTATTTCTTAGTGAGAAATTGCTCTGAGTCACGTTGTGTCTCTTCATGGAACAAAATACATCTGTTTCATACCTCCCATATTTGCCCTGCTTCTAATTACTGATTTACCTGAGCCTTAAATTTTTAAATTTCTCTCTCAGTATGTGATATAGGATCTGTCCTTAGATGACCACTTGGCAGTTGCTTAAATATGAATGCAATCTTAGTCTGTATGACTACCCAACTACACCTTCTACTTGCATATCTGCTTAATTATTGACAAATCAGCTGCCTTTTTAAAAAAATTTATATAGGATATTTACAACTTGGCTATCTTTGAAGAAAGTCGAAGCTAGAATAAGGTTCATAAAGTGATCTTGAATTCAAATAGTGTTCAAAACTTTGCCATTACAGTATAAATTTAGGAATCTCATGTCAGCATGTTTTGAAAAAATCACTGAACTATATAAAAACAGATAATTGCTGGTAATTTCTTAGTGATTTTTTCTTGATTTAAAAGACATCAAGAATCCAGAGTAACAATATAAAACATCACAGTCTGGAAAAGTCTGATTATTTTTGTCTTCCTAAATTAAAGTATGTGAGGATTATAGCTAGAAAAGCCATTCCTGTGCTGGAATAGGAACAGCGATTGCCCCATCCCCACAATAAAACTTGAACAGAATGGCTACAAATGTTTAAGTACATTGAGTGATAAAGTTGCATCACTATTCAGTTTCTGCATTAGGGGTCTCAAGAAAATCAGAATCAGCAGGATATGTATATGTATATTTAACGGAAGGAATTTTCTTGATTGTTTGTGAAGGGTTGAGGAGTCCAAAGTCTGATGATGAGGGTGAGTAGTACTGCATGCTGGAATCTGGGAAGAGTTGCAATTCCAGAGGCTTTTATGGTATCTCCATTAAAGCTTTCAACTGATTGGATGAGGTATTATGAAGAGGAATTAGCTTTACTCAAAGTTTACTGCTTTAAGTGTTGATCTCACCCAAAATCATTTTCACAAAAATACCCGAAATATCTGACCACAAATCTAGGCACCATTGCCCAGCCAAGTTCACACATAAACCTATGAATCTACTCAGTCTAACTTTTCTGTTAGCTTGAATTTTTAAAAACTACCACCACAGAAAATTAACTTTTGGAGTAATATATTTCCCCCAATGATGATTTAAAATTCAATCCTACACTTAAAATCTCAGGATGCCAATAAAAAAAAAAAAAAAGTTACACTGGATAAACCCATAGGTGCATATGCATAACTAAACAAAACAGTAAGAGTTTGTGTTTAATGCAGATACTTCCTGACTCCAGAATATCTGGGCTTTCTGGTGGTGGAGTGTGCAGGGTGGGGAGAGGGGGTGTTCAATGCAGAATTAGTATTTTGGGTTTTTTTGCCCAGGAGAAGCCACTGTTTTTCATAATGAAATGCCCTACATTTTACTACAGTCCAAGTACAATAGAGGGTACAAATTACAAATTTGAGCTCAAAACTAAGACTGGACTCAAAGCTGGGTTTGACATTTTAACCTCCAACAAATAACTATGGCTCAGTTTCCTCATATATATGTATCTTAGGGTATTTATGATGATCATTTAGGACAGTATATGTGAATATAGACAAGTTTATTTTGTCTTTTGCTGAATAGGGCTTAATTGAAGTAAAAGGACATACATGGGGCCTCCCTGGTGGCGCAGCAGCTTGAGTTCAGTGCTGTGACGCTGTCCACAGCCCCTGCAGTGTGGGTTCGATTTCTGGCCAGCCAGGGAGATTCCTACATGGTGTGGCAGACCTCTCCTGTCGCGCCAGCTGGACATACTTCATATGTCCTTGAAAAGAATTAATTGACTTCTTTACATCTCTGATCCTTCAATTGCAGAAAGACCTGTCAGCTTGATGATCTTTGAAAGAGGGCTCCAATTTAAAATGAATTGTAGCTATAATTACAGATACAGGTGCTACTCAAAAGCCTGACTCAGGTAGTAAGTAACATCTCTTCATCATTTCCCATGTGTGAACAGGCTAAATTGATGGAGGTAAATAGCTTTCAGCTTTCAAAGTGTATTTTGGAGCTTTCATGTTAAATCTAGTGGTTATTTTCACTTTGTATCTCATGTTGATGAACCTCACTCACTTGGACATATTTGGAAAAATTGGAAAAATGAGTGTATTCTTCCAGGTACACACAGCATAATGCCCAACCATATTTGCTTCCTTGTGCCAGTCACCTTAATTGTATACTAGAAAACAGTACAGCTCTAGCATTCCTGCACAAAACCATTTCAAATTAAAATTTTCAGGTTATTCACTGCTCCCTCCTAATCTGATAATTTTTCCAAATCTGACAAAAGACAAATCACAATAACTAATACTGGATAATTATCCTGGATTTTAATAAGATTCTATATCTTTTAGAATAAGCTTCGTGTGTTTTAGTACCATGCTTATAAATAAATAGTTGGCTTATAACAGACATGTTTAGGTAGATGGAGGCAAGATAGTCCTAATTGGGTTTAAGAGCATTTCCAGTATGTGAAGAGCCAGTCACCTGACGCCTAACAACAGGAAGTAAGCAGTTAAATAGCTGTATATTGATACAGTGATCAGGTTTACATCTTAACCCCAATTTGCTTAAATTAATATTAATGACAAAATTCTCTAAATATTCTGAGAGCTTTTCTCAATGCAATTCTGTTACCTATAAAACAGTTTAGTGTGATTATCTCTAGTATGTTCAAACTCTCATGCCAACCACCAATTCAGCCACACTTCCCCAGACAGGGTACAAGTTAAACCAAGTGAAATTATCAGCATAAAGAATTTTGATTTAGAAAATGGTATGTTCTTATGGTTCAATGATCTCGGTTTCCCTTTTCAGCTACTGAACTCTACTGGAATTACTTCCTTCCATGTGAGTATCTCTTTAAGAAGCCATAGATTTTTCCCACCACCAGAAATTAAGTGGATTACATGTGCTCAGTGTAGTAGAATTGATTGTTTAACCTACTTATTTTATTACCAATTACAGAGAAGATAATATGAAATTCGCAAATGCTCCATTTTCCCTAACAGTCTGAGCTTTGGGGGACATTGTTTTTATTATAGTATAAATTACAGTAACAAAAATATTATCATGCACACAGTAAGATAAGCTCACAATGAATTGGGGTTTTGGGGGGTAGGCCCAAAGTCTGAAAAGCTGAGGCAGTCTCTTTCTCGTTTGTCTCTGTAAGGAAAAAATTCAAGGGTGAGTCCAAAGTTACAGAAAAGCAAGAGATTCATTGATAGAAGGATAGGAAAGCTTTCCAAGCAAAGAGGAGTTGGGAGTAGGAAGTCATTGAGGTGGCAAGAAGAAGGACAGCAATGCTCTACAAGTGGAGAGGGATCCTGAGTGAGTTCTATCCTTCAGATCAAAATCACGTACGAAAGCCTATACCCAAAGGGAAACTTAAGCATAGATAAGCACTAAGCACAGGAGCAGAAGGGGTATGTAGGGGGCATGGAGAAGGGAAGGGTAGGGGGACTAGAAATATTAGACAAAATCACTCAAAAATTTTCCACATGTCACTTGGAGTGGGAAAAAGTGCTGGAAGTTGGCTTGAAATCTTATTTGGCTACTATGAAAACGAAAGGAAGGAACTTGAAAATGAACAAAACCGAGGCAGGTATTTCAGAATGGCATCGGTTTTCAGTAAATTCAGGTTTTAGGGAGATGCACTCTTGGTAGCTTGCAACAAAATGGAGAGGAGGAAAGGGGAAAATTAAGGTTCCTGTGAAAACAGAGTCACAAAATCAAAAAATACTCGAGTTCTTTCCCATCAAAAGCAATGCAATATTGTTTTAAAGAAACTAATATTTTACCATATCAAAAGAATAGAATGTCTTTCAACAAGAAACCAAGTTAGAAGTAGCCTCCTCAGACTATTATTGTGGCTACAAATAATTTTAACACTAGTGCAGAAAAATAATATTTCAAAGCAAACAGCATATGGCAGATGGCATTCATACAAGGTTACTATAAGAAAACAAATTTGGATTCATAACCTTTCATTTCAACTAATAAAAACTCTGCCTCCAATAAACACTATCTTTGAAGCAGAAGAAATCTTAACATAATCTAATCAGAATTAAATATTCTTAAACAGTCACAAGTATTGAGTGGAAATAAAATACACATTTTGAATTAAAAATTCAGAACTTAGAACAGGAATCCAGAGACTGGGGATATAAAACAAGAGTTAGCCAACCAAGAAAAATAGAAGAAAAAGACAACAATCTTTGAAATTACGAGATGTCTAAGGAAGTACAGATTTGCCTGAAAATTGAAT